TCCCAGGACCTACCCTACCTATAGGCCAACAACTAGACACCTTGTCATTATGGAAGAACAACTGGCTGATCAACGTTCAGACGTCTACGACCAGTCTGATGCACACGACCCCGAGCTAGTTCAACGTCCATCAGAAGAAGCCAAGCGGTCGCAAAGACATGCCAGCGTCTACGATGCCGTTGCAGGTAAGCATGACCCAAGTCCAGGCTTCTCTATCTGAATTAGTACCAACACACTGTCAGGAAGAATCATATTTGACACCGCACTGAATGCCGCTGTTCAGAATGAGAAGACGCCTCACGCCAACCTCAAACCGCCCAAGCTGACTAGACATCCCATCAACGCTTCCGCGTTAGCCCCGGAGGAGGTTCTCTTCCGCCGCAAGTCAGCACCCGAGCGCTTTGCCGAGTTCGATGTCTACATGGCACATGATCGGAACCTCGCAGACGGTGGCCGCACATCCCTGCCAGACTCTGATCTTCTCAAATCCGTACACTCCTATGCGAGCTACTTTTATTCTGCCCTTGGCGGCCCAAAGCGCAATCTCTCGTACCAGGTCGGCGCTCGCAATATTGACGAGAGAAGTATGGATGAGACGGCCTTAATCGCCTTGGGCATTCTGCTCGAAGAGGCTGGCAGAGACGTCTTAGGAAGCAAAGGAGACATGGTCTTCACCGAAGGCCTCCAACTACCCGAGGACAGCAACCCGACGTATCAAGAACCACACGTCGCGATCAGCACGCCAACTCATCCTGTGCTTGGACACGTGAGCCGGGAGACAGCCCCTGTCGGTTTTGCTGACGTTGGTTCCTGGAAAAGGGCCACCAAACGACAAAAACTGAGCGATCCCAATAATGCCTAGAGCCTCTCTGGATCTTTCACTTTCCGAGATGCTGGTTCCAACATTCCCGCCAAACCCTTGTCACCGCTCGACTTACTGGCACTTTTGCACTTGGCGACCGTTGCCAGCAACCCGGAAAAGTATGGATCCTCATTTAGCGATCGGGTGAGCAATCGAGACACGGCAACTCGGCATTTAGTATTACTTGCGTGCACGGGGACAGCTGTCGACTTACACAGCCTTGTCCATTGTTTGCTCTCGAAAGAAAGAGTAGCAAACATATCGGTCACAAGATCCACAGCATGATCATTTAGGCGTGGTCAGCGACGGCATATCCCAACGATGGCCGGGTTCAGAAGGCCTTTCCATACTGAAGGACACATCAAACAAACGGCCGCCAGACACCCGGTCACTGCCAAGAATCGCCATTCAAGCTCAAAGCAACCTCGATTCCGTACATGAAGCGCTTGGAACAATCGGCTTATTGACATACTAATCCTGACTTCGCAGACGCTCTACGCCCGACAACGCTACATGTTTTCTCCTTTTGTTTGTCCAAGAGACATAGCAAGCTTATCTTGCCCACCACGGGTGAGCATTCCGCTGTATCTATATACTTCTCGAGGCTCCCCGTTTCTCTTTTCCGCGACTTTGTATGGAGGAATCACATCGTGGCCAAGTCCGATGAAGTTTGTTGGAACACATGTTTCGCTTAGCAAGATACCCACCAAGACTCGGGGCGGAAACTAATAGTTGTTTGCGATAGACTCTCTGCGCCTGCCATACCCACCAGTTTGTGCGCCAGCCGTCTGCTGTCGACCGCTTTTGTGCGACATCATCTATGCTCGAGTGAAGTTCGACGAATCGAATCAGCTTGCGACGTCAGGTGCCATGTAGTCTATTTCTGGGAGCAGACGGATTTTTTTTCTCCATGCTCTGAAGCGCAGCAGGTACAAGGGGAGCAGCCCAGAGCCATCCACACATAGGTTGACTTATGTCGACATGGAAAGAGATGAATGCGAGGTCGGGATGAAAGTCCAATTCCAGACCTTGGAAGTATACCAAGTCAGAGCAGGCGATGGAAATTATGACGTCGAAACCGATTTCCTCCTCCACCGTTGGCGACCTTTCACCACAGACCGCAGACCGCAGACCGCAGAGCTCATGCCCGTAACCAATTGTCATGAAGATTGAAATCCGCTATACGTCAGGCCTGGGAGAAAAGAAATCTAGATGTCGCACAACCCTGCCGCTGATGATAACCTCTTAACTTTGCAGGTAGGGCATATTCATCCGCCTAAGGATCTTACCCCTGGGAGCCGTTGGCACTCAACCGAAAATTTTATAACACAACGGATCGTAAATCGTACGTTCTCAATATCAAGCCAGAGACTCCATTTCGGTGATATGGCCGACTCCCCGACTCTACTGGGGTACACCTACATACTGTTGGCTTCCAGGATAGCTCTCAATGCATCGCCAGCCGTTGGCTCACTGGAAGATGACGATGTATCGAAGTATGAGGATAGCGAGTGCCGCAAAGTGCCGTCCAAAGCAAGCTCACTCATCATGGAGGCATATTTTGCGGCATGAACAGAACACCGCATGAGTCTCAAAAACGTAGCTTACTAAGCATTACTGTTTGACCGCTTTCTCACATTCTGCGTACAGTTGGTGCCTCACTCTCACTTGGTGTCGCATCCGAATTACCGGACCGGAATGGAGGTGGGTACGGATCTGGGTGTCCGGTTGCCGGTGTGGGGCTCTCATCCGGCAGGTCTCCCGATCACCTCACCCGCTCCGGGAGAGCTTCAGTGAAGGGTTCAGACTCTATTTTCGCGACTGATATCGGAATGTCGCGATCGTCTCATCACGCATGTCCGATGGGTCACCAAGTTCGATTCTATTGCTGGACATACTCGTGCAAGACCGCACCCATTTCAGTGTCACACATTGTCGTATTCGCCAATCTTGAGCAACCTACCTACAATGCCCTAGGACACGCATCAGAAGCAATCTTGAGAGCTGATGAGGGCAAACCCCCCAGGACCCCCGACACACAAATGAAAGGCTACCTCCATCCAGCTTGGCATATCTCGACCAGGGCTTTGGTTGAAATCGGAAATCGGAGATCGGCTTGACTCCCTTGCAAGACAAGAAAAGTCAGTTCCGTGAGCTCTGAGCCTCTGGCAATCTGAACGATATACGTAGTAGAATCGTGCTCTTGCGGTCCACCCACCTCAGATGTTAGCACTGAACATGGCCTGCGCTGCAACGTAACAGGACCCCTTTTCGGCGCCCGCTGTGTGTAAACTGGAACACGAAAAATTTGCCTCTGGCGGCGACACTAGACCGGCGGAGATTTTTAGGGTACACTATCAGAACAAGGCATTGTGCCGTCCGCAATAGAGATGGAAGTCGGAAACGCCGTTCATGGTTGTGGTTGGGCATCGAGATCAACATTCGTCGACCTTGCGACGAAAGTCTGTTCAGCCATGTGCAACCCGCTTTGACCGCTTGACAGTCCTCGCACCGCAGAACCCCTAGGCTGCTTGATGACATTTCCCACCTAGATTTGCAACATTCAGGCATCAGGCTCAACTTGAAGTTTGATCCATCCCTGAGGGCCACGCGATCCGCAAGGGGGCGTATCACAGTTTCGGTGTCGCTCTCGTCATGTGACTGTTGATGCAACGGTACACCGGTGTCCCAGTTGGCAGCACATCGCTTGTGCCAACAACTTCTTCGACCTGCATACGGTCACCGCGTGCAATGGCTGTATTAGGCAAAAGTATTCCTTAGTTAAGGATTGCCAAAGACCACGAAGGAATTTCAAGACGGATCGCGCAAGCTCGAGAGATCTTCGGTTATGATGATCATGATCCGGAGGCAACGCGATCAGATATGGTCGTATTATCCACTATCAAGTGTACCGCACCGCTCAGTGCCATCCGCCGCTGGCAGCATTGGCGCCACTGTACTTCGAAGGCTCGAAACACTGCAAAAGGGGCCAAGATTTCGTTGAAGAATGTCACGGCGGATCGTTCGCAAAAATGGATGTGCTTTGTTACAGCCAGAAGAGTATCGATCCCGGTCTAGTGCCGGGATCTCATTTCCAACTTGTCATTGACTGATTTCCCCGGCCGTTAGACTTCGTGGCCACCTGATATACGCACGGAGAATGGGGACGACGTCTGTCAGAACGGCATCTACCGACGAGCTGAAGAAAAAGGAAGCAAAGGAAGAAGCGGAGCACGCCAAAAACTAATAGCTGTCTGGACCAGCGACCACCGTACTGCAATATGTCCTTGCTCACCGATAGCCCATCGATGGATCCGACGTGCCAACCTCATGTCCAGGATCTCGGCGTGGCTGGATGGAGTAATCCCCTTCATTATGACGGTGGCTTAGTTTCAGCTTCTGGCTAAGCGACCGCTTGATCTTAGTCTCGGGGGAGGGAACGGCGGTTCAACCTTCTCGAGCTCTTGGCCCCGGGTCTAAATTGGAAATCGTCTCCAGCAACGAAACGCCAGAAGCATTGTTCGACGGGCAACTAATTCGGCCCGGACGCTATGGAAGCTGAACGTACCGAATACACGGCAGTGTGTACTCACACAAGTCATGGTTGTTCCCGACAACTGCCTAGAACGTCTTAGGTGACCTAGACGGCGAAGTTCTAGCAACAAAGCACCTCAGCCACGTGGCTTCCAGCTGCTGCGACTTTCTTGACCGACATACGTGTCAGCCGCCTGCGGTAGGAGGCACGTTTATTACAGGCGCTTGTTTGGAGCAAAGAAGACTGGTTCAGCAAGCAATGCGGCTGCTATTCTAAAACACAGCACGCTCCGCTCCCGTTGTGGTGCTTGCCTTCCCGCCTGTGGCGCTGTCTCCGAAAATTTGAATGCCATGCGAGGGCCCCCAACGCAGCTCGGGATGATCGACGCAATGCCGGCCGAAAAGAATTGCTACAACTCAAGTCACAAAGCCTTTTCCAACGACCATGTCTAAACTCTTTTGACTGGCCAACTTGCACACACCTGCCTCGCAAGGAAACTACCGGAGGCGCCTGCTAGTTCGACCGGTCAAGACGAACAGTGTTAATCCTTGGTCTCGGTGTGACAGTACGAATAATGGCCTGATTAAAGTGCGTGATCGGAAAATGGACCAAGCTCGGGCCACGGTCGAATATCTTCCACCCCCAACCGAGGTGTTCCGAATTCTTCAAGAGTCAGGCGATCGCATTCCGATTTTCAGATCCGAAGGTGTCATTGCTTGTGGACAGCCTCGTGCATCAGCCCGTAAGAACACAACAGTCCAAGACCTTGAGGGGTTGCTCTCGAAGTTTGAAGGTATCTTGACACAAGGTTCGGAGAACAGGTCCTGTGCGCTGCAGACCGAAAGATCCTGAGAAATGACGAAGGCGAGGGGCACCCAGCGGGTCTGCGGTGTTACTCTAATCCTACGGATTGGCTTTCAACCCTCACCTATCCGTACATGTAAAGGATGTAAATCCTCGCCTCTCAGCCGCAGCTGTGTATACGCATACCGTCGCTTCAGAGTAACTACGAATAAGCTATCGGGTATTGCAGGGAACATGGTCGATTATATCCCTTACGAGCAAGCGCTCTGCGGCTCAGGCAATCTCTCGGGTAGTTTTCGGGCTGAAAGAAAACCTTCTGCGGCAATACATGCTGGCCTCAAAATGGGATTACCAGAAACCAAACAGTCCATATGTCTGGCGCTCCTATGATAACAGTGCAACATATCTAGGCCAGGTGTGCTTTGTACCTCTGACGGCCATCCCACCCCGCCCATTGCGACCTAAGCCGTAATCGGCACGGTTGTTCTTCTCATCGCCAATGTTTAGATGTCATTTTCGATAGACCGACCGTCAGCACAACGGTAGTATTCTGTGGAACAGTGGAACAAGTTCGTTCTGACGCACCAAGCCGACGCCTGCCGCCGCCCGAAGAGTCAAGGGAATGAGGAGTCAAGGACTCAAAAGACTTGCCGCTTGCGTCTTATCTACAATGCGTTGAATCTTGCGACATGGCCGGCTGGTTCTCTCAGATACCCTTGCGAACCCTGGTAAACCTTCGTCTCCAGTCGGCGGTGCACCAATCTCCGAACCTCCAACACCTCCTCGGGTTGCTCTTTTGGGCCCTTTGGGAAAGCGACCGCGCCAGTCAGAATCGGAGAAGGAGCTCACTCGCAATCACCGATACTGATCCAAGTTGCATGGCTTGCTGCTGAAGGTGATGCCGGCCGGGCATGCACGTCGCCTATGTGTGGCGGCTCCTGCTCAAGTCATCAGCTTTTACGAATATCAACTTCTCCATGGTGATAAGGATAATGGCTGTGCGGACTTCGAAGCAGTCACGGCAGGCTAGTTTCGGGTCAGTCAGGAACAGCGGCAGGCGTCGTGGAGGACAAACTTCGGTCGTCAATGCGACTATTGAAGGCGAACCCTGTCGATCCTCCAACTAGATTTATTCCCCGCATTCCGCATTCCATGGAAGACAGCCACTTCCTTCGTGGACACGCCTTTGAGTTCCTTAACCGCCCAACGGCTGCTTCGCATTTGGTCGGGCAGTTTTGAGACGAGATGAACAGAAGTCTAGCTTCCGTCTTCCCCGGCGTAACACGCCGACCCGCTATCCCTACAAGGACACCTTCGCGGATATGTCTGTCACATACTTCTGGTGGTTGTGTGCGCCTGTCTTGCTGCCTCTGACGACACTGTATCCTTTCTTGCACAATAATAGATGGGAGACATCGACTTCCTGCTCGAAACCTCACGGTGGGCTTGTGCTCGGACGCTTTGCCCAGGACCCTACCTGTCCGGCGTGGTTGATACGCAACTCATAATGCCGCCGCGCCGCCCTTCTGCGCGGCTTCCTGCAGCTAAGCCCACGGACGTTGAGAGCAAGTCGGCAGGCTTATGCTACAGGGAACAGCCTAGCAATGCAACCTTCGAGTTAAAGTCACCCCATTCCCGATACTGCCATGTCCGTTACTTGGTGCAGAGCGGAATAGCTGCTTCGATGGCTGTCATTGTGCAGCGTCTGCCAATAGCGGCTACTTGGTAGGCAACAGGTTGAGCCCGAAGATCAGTCAGTCACTTTGGGACCGAGGAGCTGAAGCCAAACAAAGCAAGTGATATTCTCATCGAGGGTAAGGATTCAACAGGATAACACCTGCGCCCCGGAACCTTACTTGGCGATCATGGCAGCCCAAGAGGAAGGTTGTGATACGGTTACAGATGTAGCCAGCACACCTCGCAACAGTTCACCCACCGTTTTCTGAACGAAACTCCAGGGGCGGGCAGCCGCCTATGCTTGCGGCAGTTGCAATCAGCGCGGAATTGTGCGTAATTCTCTGACGAAATGAGGATTTATGACCTCAAGCTTGCTGACATGGCGGGGGGTTGTGGACTAACAACGTTTTGCTGATTAGACTTGGAACCTAATATGAACCAGCAAATTTGGACGTATGGCCATCGTCGTCAACCACACCGGCCCACTGATGGTCGTCAGAGCCTGCAGATCAAGAACTCTACTCACCACCGCAGGCTACAAAAGGCGGTGACTGATTTGAAAGCAATACTGCTAGGCGACTTTGTCCTCTTGATGGAGTCTCTCGGATACGAGACGAAGCTGGATGTCATCAAACAACGCTGGCGCCTCGTTGGGTGGGTCGTATCGGCTCATATCTTGTGTCACTTGCACGGTCCGATTGAGATACCAATTTCGTCCAGTCATTAATGTCAGCAAACGGTGTTTCTTGGACTTTATGTGAGAAGCCTGGATACTGGAAACCTTAATCGTTGGCGAAGTGATCTCATCTCGAGGGGCCCGGCCGTGAGGTATTCTGCCCAGCGTTGAGCCCGGGGACTTTGAAGAACACAAGTGACCAGGCACTTCCAACGGAGCGAACTCCGACATCATTTTACCAGCTCAACCGCCTTTGCCCTTGTCCGCAAGGGAGGCGCTCGGCACTTTCAATTTTATTGTCCTCGATGAGAGGTCGCAACCGCTGCGGTTCTGGTATATCTGATATTGGCAGCGGCAGAGGAGAAAAGATATGTGCTGCTTATTTTTGGGTGTTGCTGAAGACTTCCAGGGAAAGCCTTGTGAGGACCCTGCAGCACAGCTCGCAGAGAACGAGTACCGCCTGTTACAACTCTTTGCCATGAACATATCGAGGGCATACTTCACTGGCTAGGTACTCGGTTGTGCCCCTTTCGGATGTATCCACAGGCCATGGGGTTGCATTTTATCTTTCAGAGACCATGGTCGACCATGGTCGGGCATTTATTGAGACGGTTCAAGTACGACGGGTGCTTCCATGACTCCCGACAACGAAATGGAGATGCCGACAGCCTGCCCAGGGAACAAGCTTGAATACGGTTCATTGGCGTAACGGCGTTGCAAATTGCCTTGCACTATCCGTACGACAAGTGGCTAGGCATTGGCGGAGATTCATGGATAGAGGTCGGGACTGGCAACAATTGATATGGCTATGACGACTGCTTCAGCAGTGTTTTGCCAGAGCGGCACACCGCTTGCATGCCATCATGTCCCGTGATACCACTGACAACCGCACGCCTCACTTGTCCAGCCTCGCACGCAGAGTTGTCACGACCAAAAGCGCGCTTGTACTAGAGTCGGCAGCATTGCGCTGGTCACGTTGACCATACCCCAAATGTCAGTTGCTGGACGAGGTAGGGATCTTCCACAGGATTTTCCTCGGTACCTTGCGCTCGGGCTGGGCTCGGCAGCCTTTGACCCGTTTTCGAAGCTAAGGAGATTTGGAGGCGTGGCTCTTTTCTCTCCCTTTTCAACCCCCTGCTGGGTGACGAGCTTCTTACTAACAAGCAAGATGCGACAATAAACTTGGAGTAAGTCGGAGGGGGCCGCTCTTTGGCTTGATACTGGAGGGTACTAAGGCATGTACTTGCGGACCATATCCGCCGCATCTTATATTGGCACTCGCATCTGTCGCACGCAGCTATCTCGCGTTGGCCGCCGCAGCCTCAAAAAGCCCCCGATGAGCTGTCAATTATCGATAATCCGAGGCTCGTCGATGGGATTTGCGGCAACCGACATGTTCCTGGGACAAGCATCCAGGGACAAAGTGGCTGTACCTGCAACCGCATGTCCAAGCTCAAGCCTGAAGTGTTGGACATGACGCACTTGAGCACCGACAATGACAGAAGGTCGTTGTCGTACAGTGACGGATTCGCGTTGTGTGATGATGCGCAAAGGTACTCCGTACTCCATCCAGAGTAGTAGGAGAGACAATGCACGGTACCTGGAGAAGAGGGCAACATGGCAGCGTGCCTAGCCCACGTTGCCCTACGAAACCTTGTTACAGACGACACGACAAATAGCCAATGTTTGGTTCTGTCGATATGGACAGACTTTCGTCACACGGCCGATGAGTCCCACGTGCTTTTGAAGCTCGCCGGTGCTGCCGAATCCGAATCCGGGACGGACTTGAGGCGATTATCACTTGCCGAGCACGCAAAATGATTCCTTGGCGCCATTGCCCTCCCGTTTGAACCAGGCTGAGGTTGAAGGGGTCTTAGAAGAGAACAAGTCAACTCGAGATGGAGCAATCGCCATCTTCACAAGTCTTGACAAGCTCTCAGCCAGACAAGCAACGGATCCTACTGCAAGGAGTTACACCACCCACAAGTGACAGCCAACAAACTCCGAGACACTTTGCTCTGTTTTCTGGAAGTTACAGGGCAGCATTCGATGCTCATTGGAAGCCCTCACAAACTACAAAACCGTAGAGGTGGGAAGAGGGCCCACCGCGACTTGAGGTGGGGGAGAAGAAAGAAAATTTCAAACCGTTCTGGGGTCAAACCCCACTAATCAGCTCCACAGCGATGGGTTCGTCTTTGCCGAATCGCAGACGGCTCACGGCGCGTATTCGAAGACTTGAGGCCCCACGGGCTGCTCAAGTTGAAAGTCGGTGCCCTCGAATGGTTCCTCGGGAGTCGAATAGTTCGGAGAGACGATGATCACGTTGCAGAACCGATGAGCATTGATGTGGAACATGAGCTGCCCAACAGTGGCCTACTTTTAGGTATACGTACTGCGTACTGTAATACCAGAAGCCAGCCATGAGTCGCAGACCGATGTATCAAGTACGAGCCGGCTTATTCGAGGTGTGCCACATGTTGCGCCTCAACCGCCAGGGAAAGCGGTATCAAGTACGCGGACCTTCGCCGCGGACTGTCGGCCTGCGATCCCCCCCTCCAAAAGAAAGTGAGGGGTTGATAGTACTTGAAAGCTACCTGGTTCTCTCCCTGCGCCGTCACCGCACCACGAGTACAACTAGTTGTCGCTTGTCGAGGCCACCGCCGCCGCCCAGGCGACTTGGGGTCTTGACCGTCCCGGCCGACAGGAGCGGCCTTTCTTCTGCGCCCCGCAAGGGAAGAACTCCAACAGCTCCATCAACCCCGTCGCGAACGCCGCCGTTGTCCAGGAGAGGCTTGAAGCGTTGCGACAAGGCTTAGGATGTGCAAGACTTAGACCAAGATTCAGCATCAGACTCAAACAGCCTGCTGGTCAGCAGACCAAGAGCAAACATCGCGCCCCTAGTGGCAGAACGAGGTCACCCATGAGGGTTGTGGAAGACATTCTTGGTGCATGTCAATGGACGGAAACACGTATAGATACACGAGCATGTCGACGATCATAGGCTGCGATACCCGTATCCGTACAGCACGCTTTTGAACGTCAACTCTGTTGGCCAACTCTACTCTCGCTAACCTTCGGCTGGCACTTATCACACACACACACACACACACACACACACACACACACACACACTTTCTTCAAAGTTTGGCTTCTCCGTCACCGCTCACATCAGGATAGGGCGGGCAATCCGCAGGCAAGACTGCTTCTGGGAGTCTGTCTCGGGCCCCTCACCTCCATTTCGGCAGCTAACCACGACTGACGGGCAGCATTTATCCTTGCTCCCTTGCTTCCTCTCACGCGGGCGTCAGCGAGCAAATGGACGTTGCCCACCACCCTCAGCTCTGCTGACTTTTTCGCTCGTCAGTGACTTCGGTAGTGGTTAACCTAACCTCTCTCCCCCATCCTCGAGCAAGGATAAAAAAAAGGCATCACAGACCACCACTCGCACCAACAAACAACAAGCAACTCTGGAAAGGCTGCTGTCATCTTTTGCTTTCCACACACCCCCATGTCCCTCGCCCGCCTGCCGAGGACCCCTCACCTTCCCCTCCCATCCCATCTCATCCCACATCTCAAAAAAGCTGCTCAGACCGACATCAAGGCTCAGTCACCCCAGTCGAGCGCGAGCAAGGCAGGTCCCTCGGCGCTCCGAGTCTTTCCAGGCACCCTCCGCGCTTCCCAGTTACCGGTCCCTTGGACCACTGCGTCGGAGCAAGTTTTCTGCTCTAAGACGGTTCACCGTCTCTGTGAATGAATCGTTACTACTGGGCAGCAGTTCGACATACAGTATCCGTATCCCACACCATTAAAAGATGCTTGCCAACAACTAGCCGGCTTGGCTCTGGTTTGACTTTGGCGAGTCGCATACTTTCGTCCGTCCTGCGGCAACATTGCGCGCCCACCACACCATGTTTCCTCTCTTGACATTCGTCAGTCACAGTGACGGAGACCTGCTCCGGTTTTCAGCCCCTCTGTTCCGGCCTTTTCCGCCTTGACTTTGACGTAGTCAGCAACGAACGGGCCTTTTCGTCCATGCATTTGGGTTTTATATCGCCGATGGGGAACGTTATTCGTCAGATTATTAGTCAACACCAGACCTGAGCCGCGAGCGAGCGAGAAATGAAGAGAGAAAATGAGAGAGGTTGAGAGACAGTGAGGAGGGAAGGGAGAGTAAAGACGAGGCTTTTTGCACTCCCCTGGTAATCTTCGCCTCACGCCCGCCACCAAGGAAGGGCCCTGTGTACGACATTGAAGCCGCTAAAATAACGTCGACGCTTGTTTCTCTTCACGACTCACGTCGAATCGCTTGAAGATGGCGAGGTTGGAAGAATTGCCCGCCACGCCCGCCACGCCCGCCACGAACAGCCTCGTCCAATCCAACCGTCGCCCAGTCCAGCGGTCGGCACCCGCGAAAATACCAAAGATAGTATCTTGCCAGCAGCAGCAGCAGCACAGCAAAGTACAGCACAACGCAGCGGTCAAGTGACGAATCGAGGCGGCGCACTGCGAACGGATACTACTTGACTGCTTGGGCGAGTTGGAGCATGGATTGCATGTCGCTGCTCCGCACTCGTTTTGTTTGCCTGCCCGTCCCATCCTGTCCTTTCGCATAGCATCACATCGCACGCCCGCGGGTTTCCAAACCGAAAGAAAACCTAATAATACAGCAGACCCTTCTTTTGCAAGGACCTGCCAACTTCCTATTACACCGCAACCACACGTCAGCTCACCGTCCATTACACCGGCCAGCTGGCCACGCGGGGACCACCAGCGACGTAATGATCAAGACAAGACAAGAGGGGAACCAGAGCCCCAGAAAAAGCGGAACTTGGACATTCCTTTGCACGGCCGACTGGAAAGCAAATTTCCTTCTCGAATCCCGTGACCAATTTTCCCCAGTCGTCTGGCATGGAGTATGATCCAGAATGCGCCGGTCCATGACTATGAGCAAGTATCGGACGGCACACACCGAGAGATTCGGAGAGAATGGCAAGAAAGAAAAGAGAGAAAGAGAGAGACAGCATGAAAATGGTCCCTTCTCTGAGGTTCGG